TAATTCCTATTATTCAGCTGTCAGCTGGCTTTTAAAAGCCACCATTCCCAATGATCCAGTTACGGGAGTTTCAGAGCCCAGGCCTTGTCTCAGCAAGAAATCCTATAGCCAGGTGAAACAATGGAGAGGGTTCCCGCCTGCTTTGCAAGGGAGCTGGGTTTTCTGTTCATTTTGGAGTGGCCTCCCCTTAACTCTTTGCATCCCTCCTAGGTTGTTGGGAAGAAGCCCTGCCTCGCTCTCAGCCTTCACACTGATGCCTTCCAGAGCCACTCTGCCTTTCTTTGGGGACCCTCCCCGCAGAGCAGCATGGGTTAGCAGAGAACTGAACAAATTAGAGTGAGGGGTGGCAGGAGAAAGAGAAAGAACCGCTCCAAGATAGAGACTGCTGTAGCTGAAATGTGCATTTGCTCTGGGCCTGGTCCCAAGGCAGGGTTTGTCATCTCTGGGGTGCTGCTGTCAGAGGGTACTCAGAGCTTGGGTCCCCAGCCAGCAGGTCCAGGGTCCAGGGTCTCAGTCCCTGTTCTGGAAAGGGAAGATGCGCGTGGAGTGGGAGGGGTCTGCCCTGACAGTGGTGAGAGGTGGCAGGGAGGCTCCCGACCTCCCTGATCCCTTTATCTCTGACAGCCTTCTGGGGGGAGGGGGGCTCCAGCCTGGCCTCGTGCTGCTTGACATCAGGGCTGAGAGCACCTGAGAGCCACAGGTGTAATCAGGACAAGCCCAAGGGATCAGGCCGGGAAGGAGAAGTCTTGGGGGAGAGGGACCTCCCCAAACCGTGTCCAGGCCCACTAAGCACCACCAAGGAGCTTTTCCTTCTCCCCAGCCCCTACAATAAGGACTTTCTTCCTTCCCCCCTTCCTTCCCCTCTTCTTCTCTTCCTTCCTTCCTTCCTTTTTCTTTCTCCACTGAGGATTTGAACTCAGGACCTCTGCACCGAGCTGTATCCCCAGGTCCTGCCCCAGCCTCCCAGGGGGATAGGATTACAGGTGTGCCCCACTGTGCCCAGCTCACAATGATGCTTTGTAACCTTTTGTTAAACCAAAACTGGGAAATTGTTATAAGCTATGAAGCCAATCCAAGTACAAAAATATTTGTATGAATCCAAAAGTTTAGCCATTTTAGGGGGGTTATAGTCCCTAAAGCTCAGGACTCTGGTGAGCCTGTGGATCCCAGGTAAAACCGTACTTTCTCAGCTTCTTTGCCTTGTGACCCAATTCTACCATCAAGGCTGTGAGGACGCCCATGGCTTCAGCGTCTCAGGTGGCTCTAGGATGACCCCCCTACCCCCAGGCCCTGTGCTGACCCAGAGGACAGATCTGGAATCACTTTGTCCTTCAGTTTCACTCCTGGCCCCAAGGGTGTCCATGGATACCACTGGCCGGAATGAGGCACTGGGCTAGGTAGAAAAGTGATGAGAGTGTGGTAGGAAGAAGGGGAGGGAGTTCTGCGCAGGGTGGTGGGTTACCAGTGCCCTCCTGGGCAGTTGGGCTTGGTCCTCTCTTCTCCCCTGTGGTGTGTGTGGGAGTCACCCTGACTGGCTCTGCCATGACACCTGCTAAAATGCTGTACCTGCTTTTGGCTCCAGCACCTCTTGCTGGTCATTTGTCAACTTCTAGGGGAACTGGACACCGGCTGACTCTGTCCTGTCCCCTACCCCTCGTCTCCACCCCTTGGGGACAGTATTTCTCTACTGTACTGTAGTAGTCACAGTCCTCAGGATGCCTGCTTCCCCCTCTTCCAGGTGCACTCTGTTTTGTTTCTTTTGTTTGTTTGTTTGTTTGTTGTATCAGGGATAGAACTTGGGACCTTGTGCTTTTGAGGCAGGTGGAGGCACCACTGAGCTAAATATCCGGGCCTTCCAGGTGCACTCTAAGGGAATCAGGGAAAGGTGGAGGGGCCAGGGCTTGGCCACACTATTGGTCAGGTTCCTGTCAGGAAGCATCCAGGCTGTTGGAGGGCTGGTTCCCCTCACTGACTTCTGCTCTTCATTTATCTTTCTTAAAATTCAGACTTGGTCAAGTGACTCATCTTCTATGAAATCTGTACTGCCTCCCCTTTGTAAAACACAGAGTCCTCAGCCTGGCATTTCAGAGACACCTCTGCAGTCCGACCTGGATCTATCCACCCTGCCCACCCTTCTACATCAGGGTGCAGCGATGATCCATCCAGTTCTCTGGCCTGGCCCCGTCGCTAGGACAGCCTCTCCTGGTCAGCAGTTTATTCTGCTGCCTCCAGTCCGGGGCTTTTTTTTTTTTCTTCTGATTTTCCTTTATTGAAAAATTGCCCTATTCTTCAAGGCCCAACTCAAAAACCTCCCTGATGCCTTCCACAGTCCATGCATTTTATTTTATTTCTCTCCAGTACTTCATTGAACTCAGAGCCTGGATTAAGCCCAGGGCCTTCCCATGGAGCTACTTATCCAGCCCCATTTATTTATTTATTTATTGAGACACGGTCTTGCTAGGTTGCTAAATTGCTCAGGCTGGGCTCCTATTTGCAATGCTCCTGCCTCAGCCTCTTGGAGTCCTGGGATGACAGGAGAGACCCACCATGCAGGGCTGAATTCTGAGTTTTTCTGCATCCCTCAACAGTCAGTATTCCCAGAATGAACACGATTCATGTAGCTTTCTATTATTTCCTGGCAGGCTGTCAGCTCCCTGAAAGCAGACATTAGACTTTCGGCTCTTAGTCCACAGAGCACGCGCTCCACGCATGTGCAGTAGTCCAGACACCCCCTTGCTGACAAGGCCTTCGGTGCGGGGCGCTTTGCTCTCCTGGCAGCTGCAGCACAGCCTTTAGATGCTGCCTTGAACATGATGTACGTCAGTTGCCTGGGGAGCCCTGGGTTCAGGATCCCTCCTCTCAGATGCTTATTTCCCCAATGCTTGCTCCCAGTTGAGGACATGCCCCTGTGGCTGTGCTTGATCCAATGTCATTTAGGAACAGCGCCAGACACGCGTGTTCACAGGCTTCCCTTTGAGGCCGGGGCTTGCTTCTGCCTGGCCCGCAGGCGGTATCCAGCGGAGATCCTCTGCGCTCTCAAGTTGCACCACTGGACGTAGCCAGTACCCATCCCCCTGCGGATGCGCCTCAATTATTCAGCCCTTTCGGGAGGAGGAGACAAAAATTACTTTGGCGCACCCGCCTCCCCACCGAATAGCGACCTCGGGGACTCCGGCCTATCTGGAGCTTTGCACGGGAAAGCCAGCCAAGCCGGCGACGGTTTTCCAGCTACGCTTCTGACGGCGGTCAGAAATGCGCGCGGCCCCTTAAAGTATTTCCGAGGGAAGGTTGGTACATTCGTGACCATCCCTGGCAGCGGCCAGGCCCGGGACTTGGGCTGCACTCGCCATTGGCCCGCTGTCGGCGTGACGCGCAAGGGCGGGGCCTCGTCAGCTGTTTGCGGGATGCCCTGAGCGGGCGTATTTTGGAAACAATACCGCGCGGTGCGCCGTGGCCTCCTCCGCGCCTGCCCGCGCCGCGGCCG